AAAAAAAAAGTAAACAGCACTGGAAAAAAGTTTCAATATTCCTACTTAGGGCATATAATAGCCTGAAATCCAAATGATTTTATGAATATCACTGTGATTTTGAATGTGATTTATAATATAAAGACTCATGCATAACTTACCAGGGTAGTAAAAATGTAGTGGTAATACTCTGTCATCATTCCCATGGCGAGTGCCTGAAAAAAATATTGAGAACCATGAACGAAACCATTTTGAGACAAGGGAACAGTAATGCTTTCTCTGAAAATGTCCAATTTATCACCGAATCGAAGGATAGGCGGGCGAAAATAATGGCGTTTCTTGTTTATATGATGTTCTTCGGCTTGTAATAATTTTATATGCTGAAGGATTGTGAGCTGAAATCATTTGAAGATTTCATTCTTATCTTTCTATTCTAATCTTCTGAAACACCCAGAGTTCTCTTCATTGCTCATAAATACAATACAGAGTGACATCCATGCAATGTCTGTGCTCTACCTCTAAATAAACCAATCTGATTTTAAAGAGCTGTTCACAAAAAACATGTTCTTGCATTTTCAGCTGGATATCATTGGTCACTGGATCTCTTGCTTGGTACCATCGGTGATGCATAGCTCAACCTTGAAAAAACACATCTCAAAACCTCTATATTCGGTTGTGCTCAGTCCAGCTTTCTTTGACCGCAAGAATGTGTCCTTTAGCTGGACCCTTAGCTCATTCTGTGTTGTCTGCTCTTGGTAAGTGTGGTTTGGCGAGATGCGTTGCCTGTAGTAGCAGCTGAGGCTGTGCTGAATGCACAATTCACAAAAACCTTGATTAAGATGCTAGGAAATTTTCAATAACACTTAAGTTTAGGCAACACATATTAATTTGACAGTAAGCAAGATCGTTGTTGTAGTAGTTATGTGTAGGTATGGGGTAGGGTAAAGGGATCTAAAATATGGTCATGCATTAATATGTGCTTTAATAACTGCTAATAAACAGCAAATATACTAGTAATATACACACTAATAAGTAACTAGTTAATAGTGAATAGTGTTGCCTAATCTAAAGAGTAAACAAAATTATTTGATATGAAATGTATATAGTATAGAGTTCAGAGTGGATTTGGGGTGGTCATTGTGGGGGATTACACATTGGAAAAAAAAAAAAAAAAAAAAGAAACGTCTTTGTAACGTATG